AGTATTTTAACCCCTTGTTTGTCTTCTGACTCGCCCTACAGGCTCGTCGACTACGGCACAACTCGTAAAATATTTAAGGATACAACATACCAAAACGTCCAATAAGCTAAATTCACTTCACATCTCTTGGCATGTTTTCAATAGTATTCCGCTGGAAGATTTGCCGTCGCCGCGATAATATGCACAAACTTGCCACCACGTCTCAGAATTACGTGAATAATTATTACTACTCTTACGATTTAGTCGCTTCTGACGTAGATCGTTTCGACTGCCTAATGCGAACTTAATCTCCTTCAACTTATCGACTTTGAGGCGTGCAGGCAGTCTGCTCTAATCTACATCACAAGCGACAACATCTAGAGGCATACGAAAATTCTTCTGGGAATTCTCTTCCCCGCGATCAACTGCTGCAATCTTCAGTGAGATTCTAACTTTTTTTCTCCAAAGGTTAAATGTTGCATTTCAAAGACAAACAAGAGTAAATGATAAGCATGAGGAAGTCAGATTCTAATAATTTATACTATGCAAGTCAAGTGTCCGCTTTTATTTTCAGCAAATTGAACTTGACTCAATAAATTCATAAAGCCTTTCAGTGAGGCAAAATTTCGACTTCCGTTATCACATGCGACCAAAACATTTGAGTAGCTGTACAAGTCGTCTTGTATTTTTTACTTAAACAAATTAGCTTTTGGGATCATTTGCAAAGCTATTAAAATGACATAAATGAAAAATGTTTGTTAACCAAATTTTTGTAACTTGTAAATAGTGTCTATAGATTCCTTATCAAAGTAAAAACCCCTGTAATATGCTTGTCTTTATGTGAACTGATTTCCTAATACAATTTATTTAACAAACTTCTGTTTATTCTGGGCTTTTGATGCATATGCATCCTGCACACTTTGCACCCAAACGTTAATAATGCACACGTCATTGAAGGACTCAATAAAGATACATATATGGTTTATTACAATCAGCTGCAATATTTTGAATATCCTACCGAGTGGGTAAATATTTATAACGAAAATAATACAAGTATTAAAGTCTGGAGATAAGATTTGTATTTAGTAAAACAATGCTGTACCAAATCTAATAACTGAACATGCTAGAGTGTGACCTATTGCATTGCATATATGAACAGTTTTTTTAAGATAAGCTTTAATCCAATGAGCATGAATATTTACAGAAGAATAATATGAGACTAGTCCGTCTGGAGATAATATTTGTATTCAGTAAAACAAATGTGTCCCAAGCTCTTTCCATTTATAAACACGTATCCCAGACTCCAACGCAGTACCGAAGCTCTTCCAACACTTCCCTGATGTAAGACGCTTTAGGTCTGTTTTCTGCGGTTTCTTCGAAACACAGGTTCATGATTTCGTGCAACTGCAGAAAAACCAATTTAAGTAAGGAGAAAAATAATAATTTTTTTCATTTTGAAGAAACAAAAACTTTTATGTAAGTAATGGCCATTCTTTTCATGGCCATGTGGCTTTGAGTCATGCGAGGTTTTTATATCTAAATTTCAAACACTGCTGGGGAATGCTATAGATGCCCTGGTGGGTTGAATCAAAAACGCGGTGCCACTTAGAACATTGCAATGCAATATAACGAGTATGATAGTGTAGCACAACATAGTTTGGCGTAATGCAGTACAGCACATTTAGCATGCAATGAAGCGGAACTCAATGAAACGTGCTCTGCATTGTAATAGAATGTAGCATGTAGCGACGTGCAATTATTAATGAGATGCAAAACAACGCTATGTCATTATATCGTAAATTAAAGATACCAAAAACGGCCAAAAATAGCCTAGGCTGATTTACTGATCATAGTAAGCTGACTTTGCAACTAATTTAACAATTTTCTCAATATTTTATTTCAGTTCACATGAAATCGAGCACCAAAATACATATATATATGACATCAGAAACAACGGATGATATCAATTCCTTTCGTATTATACGAAATCTTTCCCATTTCTTAAATATCTAGGACGATGAATGTCTCTTTTCTATGAAAGATTTTCTCAGTTCTCAGAATTAAAACTTTCCGCAAACCCCACCCCTTCCCCCTTCCATCTTCCTTCCTTTTATTTCATTTGTCACTAGATCTTCGCTACCTCTCGAATGCGATCTTCTTTCCATCCAAAGAAGAGAGAAGAGGATTGTCGGCTCATATACTGATCAGCGGCTCCTTATCGAGCCTTTAATTAAGAACCTTACCTGAATGTATTCACTGGACCCATGACAGTGTCCTAATAAGGTAGCTATCAACTGTCCGAACTGCTCAATATCCTTGCCATGATCACTCTGCTCATCTGCTCCCCAGTTTGCAAACGAACCAGGTTCGTTCTCCTTGGACGCTCGAGACAGTCCACCCAAGACTGCTCTTACAGGGGGAAGCTGAAAATAATCGATTACATATATATATTTTTGCTGACTGAGGTCGAGGGTTAAATTGGAAAATATTTCGCTCGAGATTCACACCTGACTCAGTCTATTCGTATTTTATTATAAGACCACCGCTCTTTCGCTTTCTTCCTTTCTTCTTGCGGTTTGCATCTCTCAGGGCCGTACACCAGACCGTTTCGTTAAAAGTAACACCCTTTCAGAATGAAAGGGTTCCCCCGTTTATTTATGGCTCGAAACTAAATAGATCGAGATATTTCACCGCAAAAATATTTGGTGTTGTCCCATTTCATTTTAAAAGGAAAATTTACGTAACAAACGTTTTTAGCTCAATAAATATTCTGAATTTCATGATGATTCATAACAACTGCTCGATCATTGTAATTTGTAAAATACTGGTATTTCGGGTCAAAATGTCCGAGATCGAGCACCGGACAGATCACATGAATTCTTAGGCAAGACATTTTGCCCTCACAAAGCCTCTCTCCAATATCGAACAAAATTTTGATAGTCACAAAAACGCGTAAGGTTTATTTTACCCTTAAGCAATGACTGATCAAAATATTGCTTGTTGTCACGTTGTTATGGACAATCCCAAGTTCCTGTAGTCGCTCTATAGCGCTGATGATGTCACAGGCGATGGCGCAAACCGCATCAAAGTTGAGGACAGTTCCTTTGTCGCAAAGAAAATCTTGTAATGTCGAACTCGACACAAAATCGTAGCAAATAAGTCTGAAGAAAAACGAAATAATTTTTTTTTGAAATTAGTAGAAAACAAAAAGCTCACTTTTTCAATTTCTTTCAAATGAAATATTGTTTACTTACAAACTGTTCGATTGTAACTCGCGGATCTTCACTTTCCCGTGTTCGATATTATGGTCACGGGCTGCAAAGAAGGATTAGAAACCTTACTTTTAATAAAAAAAAATGCGCAAGAGGAAATATTGAATAATGGAAAGAAAGATGACTGACAAAAAGTACTAGACGAGCTGATCGAAAGAACACTCCATGGATGGAAAGCAGCTATATTTGAGTAACTAGGGATACTTTATTAACTCACAATTTTTTGACGAAAATGAATTAAAAAAAGGTATAATATTGGGGAATGAATTTGATCCTTTGTAATTTGGACTCATTTGTTGTACATCTATTTTGAATCGTGTCTACTTCCATTTTTGCCCCTCCCTAATGAAACCTGGGCGAAAAGAGCTATTGCTTTATTTACAGAAAAGAACAGCAGCTATCCTATACAATCACTTTTCTAATTTAGTAAGTGCGCAAGGATTGGTCAATTTAGTGGGCTGTAATTTCCTGTACGGCCTGTTGAATACAAAACTTTGCCGGTTTCAATTAAAGTCTTTCCTTTGTTTGAACCCAGAAACATGATGAATATCTTTCTAACCTCGTTTTCTCGATCTGTGCGGACACGGAATCCCGGTCACGTAACTTACCTTACGGATCTCGAACTCGGTTAGTGAGAGGTTTTTATTTATTAAAATCGTTCTAAATGGAGCTTAAGAAGCTAAACAGGCAATTGAAACGTCTAAATGGCCTATGATTGTGTCCAATTTCTTTCTTTCTTACTGACATTTCCATTTGTTTAGCAAAGCTAATTATTCTAGCAGTACATATTTATGTTCAGAGGACAAAGTATGAAGGATCTTCCATTCACTCGCCTTTAGAATGCCAACGGTAATTGAGAAGGACAGGTAATTCTTCACTATCACTACACAGGCGTTTTGCCACATCTACTTCACGAATCCAGTCTTGTTTGTGCTCTTTTGCGAAATACTTCAGTAAAACCATGTTTAAAATGTCTCCTTCCTCAGACCATGCTACAGCGTAACCCTGTAACAGCAAAGATGAGTTTGGATGGTTAAATCTTATGCAAATAAGTTGACCCATAACTGTCAAAGCTTTCCTTAGTTCACAAGAGCATGAAGTGAAGGTGAGTATTGCCAGTCCTCCTGAATCCTGAAAACCTCCCTTCCCCTCCCAGTTCACCATATAGTCTTAAAGTCAAGTCTCTCTGTAAGTTCGCCAGGACTTATTTATACTCCTGAGTGGACAGAGGAGTTGCATACGATAGTCTGTTGTCTTTCCTGAGCACTCGTCTCAGTGACCCCGCCAGACTCGAACCCAGACCTTTCTAACTAGTACAGTGTTCTCTCGAAAAGATTGTTCAACCAGTCAATGACTAACTAGTCCGACAGGGAGACTGGTTGACAGACTATCTTAATTACCTTCGCACGGATAAGTTAGATTTTTTTTTAAAAATCGAAGTTTAAGGCAAGAAGTTAATTCGTTTTGTCTCGGGTGTGGGAAAAAGAAAAATTCTGAGTATCAATGATGAATCGAACCACACACCTTCGGATTTAACGCTCCTAAGCGGAGACTGATGAATTAAGACATTACAGGTCTACATGTAACACGCGTATTATATGCCAGGATAAGCCACGCCGAAAGCCTCTTTTAAGTTCATAGGCTAAGAGAGATAGTAAATTTTGAAATCATAGGTTGTAATTTTGTAACTTACAGTGGCAGGTTTTCCAACAGTGTCGTCTTGCAGAATATCCACCTCTTCAATCAGCTTTAGTTTAGCGTGCACGGTATGTTTACAATGGTCTCTTCATGTTTTTCTGTCATTTGTGATGGCAGTGGACTGGAATAGGCGATGACACTGGAAACCAAAGTCGCATCATCTGATGTTTTCAACCAATCGACTGTTTGCTTCCGACCTGAGATTAGATATAAACCTTAGGCAACTAAGAAGTCTGAGGTTCAGACCTACACTATTTACCATACCTGTACGTTTTCTTTTTTTACAATCTGTCTGACACCAAAGTTTTGGAAACGACAAGATTGCGCATTACCACTCAACTGGCTGGCTTTTCTTAGTAACCGAGAGAGGGATAATAGGTGATGATAGATTCAGCTCAACTGCACCATTTCGGTGACTGGAACAACCTAAGGTTAAATTACATAGGGATTTCTTTTACCGATAATTGTCATTACTTACCTGGCATACGGTAGTTTAATGTCTTCATGACCATACCGGTTACATTTTTTCTTCTTTTGGTTAAGCTACGTTTTGTTCGCTGGGTGGAAAATGTATACAGGATTGGATTCAGGGAAGAGTTCAACGGAAGAACAAATACTGCAATCCATACGTAAGCGATTTTGTTTGGATCCTCAAAATTTCCAGTCAGAGATAAAACATTGATTATAATGATTGGCATCCAACAGCAGAAGTCTGTCATCACGATGAAAACAAGTCTCTTGGCCATCGCAGATTCTTTTTTGAAATTCGTCGATCGCGCTGCACGTGCAGCCCGCTTTACCGTCCAAAACATCGCCGTATACGCGACGAGGATAAATGTGAAGGAAATGAAGTTGAGGCAAACAAAGATTGTCACGGAGTATTCCCAACCAGCAGGTGTACCCTCTGAAAGCTGAAGAGGAAGGCAAACAGCAGAGCGACTATAGAAGCCGAAATCTCCGCTTTCATCATAAAAGTAATTTATTCCGGTGATAGGAATCACAGATATGATTATGCCAAATATCCATACACCCATGCAGGAAAGGAGGGCGGTTTTGTAAGTAAGGCGCTTAAACTTGAACGGGAAGACGATGCATATTAGTCGGTCTATGGTTATAATGGTGAGAATCAGGACAGACACTTCACTGGAAAGCATCGAAAGAGCTCCGACCATTTGGCAACCCATGCCAGATCTCCATTCGATGTCATGCTTAAAGTATTCCCCTTGCCATCTCAAGTCCATAATAGCGATAGTTAATAGATACACGCCCATCAACAGATCAGCAGCGGCCAAATTAGTCAGCAGACAGGACTGAACCCTGTTCTCCTCTTTATCAACAGTACGCCATATAATGACAAGTAGGTTTCCAAGGAAAGCGAGCATTCCAAGAATCCAGATACAAACCTGAACTGGTTTGTTTTTCATGAGGTCGTCACAGCTGGAAAATTCATCGACTGGAGAATTGCAATCAACTCCTGCAATTGATTTCTTAGCGTAGCAACACAAAATGAAGCGGTCGAGTTTCCTAAACGAAAATATTCCGTTGTAAGTACGAATTCACAATCTGCCTCTCTCTTTCCCCGGAGGAATTTTGATTACGAGTCGAAAGCAAACCAGAATTGCACGGGTATTGTTTTATGTTGCTTTTAATTGGTTAAGGAAATCTGCACCACCTCCCCAGTCATTCAGGAGCACATAAATTTCACGCGCTGGACGCCCCTAGGCGTGTGTTTTCTTCAGTTTCCTTGGGCTCATTTCAGTGTCTCCTTTGATCTGATTAGCTGAAATTGGCATTCACTTAAATAAAACAAGCTAATACGTCAAAAAGTGTAAATAAATACTTACAAATACTCCAAGTTTTCAAGTTCACTGAATGCATCGGAAGGTACATCGGTTAGTTTATTATTGTCGAGATACCTGTCAGAACAGAGAACAAAGAATAAGGGAAGAGAAATTATAAGAAAATGAAAGATTTGATTTAAGACAAATTTCAAGCTTACAACTAAAATATCTTATACACAAACTTATGAGCTCGAAGTACAGAAATTAGCAAACGGTGTACTCACAAATGTTCCAAAGACTTGAGTCCTTTGAAAGTTCCCTTTGTGACTGTTGTTAGCTTGTTACCACTTAAGTCTCTGAGAAAAAGCGCATTAAGAATAATAATCAAGTCGAGAATAATGTCAGAAAATTGATGAGGATCTAAATGGTTCTCACTTGAGTTTTAACTGACTATTTAGATAAACGTCGTACGCTCAGAACAACGTACTGAAACTGTGTAGATTTCAGCTGCTCAAGAAAAGATGAGACTATAAAATCGATCTTTACGCTACTTACAGCGAAAAATCGCCTTTTGTTATTCAAATATTGCAGGAGATAATTTCGTATTGAAAGTTGTTCCTCTTTGTGAACATCAGTTGGTTTTACTATTATATATTTTCCCTAACACTGAAGCTTCGTGTCTCGATTGATGTGTAAATTATTCCACCCATATCCATGCCAAATTAAGTATGTTAGAGGCAGGAATCTAGATAACTATCAGCTGAAGGATGTAACGCCAAACTCCCCCAATTAACATACACAAAAATAATTAATTTCATACTGAATCTCAGGAGTTAGGAGTTTCTAATTCCGCTGCAGACTTTTTAAAGGCCGTGTCTGTTTCTCGAAAGTCCCGGCGACTTTATAGGTGCCAAGCAATCTCATAAAATTTAAATCTAAGGCATCGTATCAGTACAGATCTTAGCTGAAAAACTAGCCAAATCTGTTTCTTTTCTTAACATTTTCCCTGTTTTAATTTCAGAATTATTGATCTCTCTTCTTGAACGTAAAAGTAGCATGTAAAAAGAGAAAAACTTTTCGAGAACATTAATTACCAGGATTGTGCAAAAAAGGTCCCGAATTATTATTCCTTCTTTTATCAGGATATATTTATTTCTTTATTGAACACTACAACTTGGATGGCAATACTTACAATACTTTCAGCTTTGAAAGATCTTCAAACAGGCCCTCTGGTAGTGTTGTTAACTTGTTGTTCTGGAGGTACCTGATTGAAAATATTCAATTCCAAATCATCTGTTTTTATTCTACAGAATAAACGCTGATTTTTTTTTTCACTAGTGCATGACCCGGCCCCTAAAAGAAAAATCCCTGGATAATTTTTTTTTACTTTATGGCCTATATTTCTTTGTAAAGGAAAACTTGAAGCAGGTTTCAACAACTTATCAAGTTGTGTCCCTAAGAAACTGTATGTATCATTACTGGCCAAAACCCAAAAAGATTTCTATTTGATAGAGCAGAGGTTATCTGAAAATGAAAGAAGGAAAACTATACTTACAAATGAGTCATATTGCTTTTGTTTTCAAAAACACCATATTCCATTCGCTCAATCTGATTTGAACGCAAGCCCCTGTAAGTGAATAAAAATTCTGATAAAGGCTGTCTCTTTTTTAAAATAATTAGTTTCATGAGAAAAGTGACAATTTCAAAATTTATTTGGGTTACTTTTTGTTTAGAATATAATACTTACAAAACTTCTATACTTGATAGTCCGTCCAGCATTCTTTTCATTGGTTTTCGTAGAAGGTTTTTTCCCAAATCACTGAAACAAATCACATTGATGTCCACTAACATTCAAGTTATGGAGAGGAATGCGAGATTGTCTTACTGTAAGTTCTGTGACTAGTCAGCAAGATTTGTGCCATCCTCTTAGCCAATCAGACACATAGATAAAACCTAGTCGTTTTCATTTCCTCTGGCTCAATAGAGGAATTTTTTATTTCCAACTGGCTTTCATTACTTTAACTGATCAATGTAATTAAAGTCGATCTGCATTGGCAAAAGCGCCATGAGCGCCAGATTTATAGGTCACACAAATACTCACAGAACAAGTAGATTAGGAATTCCATGGAAAACTCCGTCGGGAAGAGATCTTAAAAAATTGGAGTTTAGTCGCCTGGAAAAAAGGTATATTATTAAATTCAGTTTCAAAACCATCTGATTCTAGCCTTAGAGCCAATCCCTTACGAAAGCTTATGGAGTGAAATAAAGTTCCTGAAGAGACTACTAGCGCCTCCCGTCTGCGTAAGATACTCAAGCTATTTAACCAACACTGGGAACCTTTTTCTTTCTTTCATTGAAGGAATTTTTTTTAAGGTATAAAGAAGAGTATTGAGACCATTTATTAATGGTTTCAAGTTGCACGTCGGACATCTCACTATAAAATTTTCATGAGTGCTTTTTCCCGATTTTCAACCCGAATTGAAAACAAACAAACAAACAAACTGAGAAATAAGACAAACATGACAGCTGACCTTGAGATGAAGTGTTCAGAAACTCGACTTTTTCATTAGCGACATACAGCTTGACAAGGCGTGATCATACTTACATTGTTTTGACGGATGAGACATTTTGAAAGCAGTTTTCACTGAGGCGAAGCAGAATATTGAAACTTATGTCACTAGAAAAAAAAACAAACATTATCAGTTTGTTAAATTCTACAGCCAGTTCATTAAACCCTTGGCTGGAAGAAATCCAGACGGAAACTTTTTACTTTTTGATCAACGCATGAGGAATATACTTACACATATTCCAGCTTTTTAAGATCTGAAAAGGCTTTTTCCTGCAACTGGGATATCCGATTATTCTTGAAAAACCTTGAGAAAAATATGATACTTGCAGCAAATACGTATAGAGAATGTAATCATTAAAAAAATATATCAAAACAGCTTACTGAGAAAAGCGACAAAAAAAAGATGGTGTCACTAGGTTTAGAAATACAACAGAACTATATATTCGCATAGTTTTTCATTGCTTACACAGCTCCAGTATTGGAAGGAAGATTTCTTGGAACACTGAGCAAGTCTACCCCAGTTACTTGAATCCTCTTGTCTTTGTCATAGCTGAAATCTTCACATTTGCAGCTCGACGGACAACCTAAAGCAAACGATAGCAATATTATCAGTAAAAACCAACAAACCATTTAATTAGAAAATAGATTAAGTAGTAGGTCTCATGGTTGTTTACCTTGCTGACGTGAACAGGAAAGTCCGTCATTGTCGTTGGCTGGAAAATTAAGAAAACAATTTTAATCAATTCCTGACACAAGGTTCTGAAAAGAAATAAAATGGCTTACAGAAGCGAGCCAGCAGCTCTAGCTATAGAATACTCCTGGTAATCGTCATGGGAAAGTAATTACCTTCAAAATCAATCTACGCCATCCTAAGAAAACATCTTATACAGCTGACTTAGCAAAAAATTTCATCTCTAAACTTTGAACCTCATTTTTGTTCAAGACGGCACCTGTAAAATTGAGCAACTTAACAGATTGCCAACAGAATAACAGCAAAAACGCTATAATATAATATAAAGCCATAATATAATTTCCATATACCTGAAACAGAGTGGTACAAGGCCTTGAATCGGGCTAAAGGCAAATTTCCTTGGCAGCTCAAGAGGACTGTTAAATGATTCGAGGAAGATAGGAAATTTGGAGGGAACAAATAGCCGCAGAACTTGCCCAAGGATGTCCTCTCACTTCCGTCAAAAACTTCCACAAAACATTTATCACACGTGGGGTGATCTCTGAGTCTGAATTCTTGGAACTGCAAATTAATTATATGACGGGGTGGGACGGTAATAACCCAGCTACAGAGAATGTCGTAAGGAGAGTGTCCCGGGTATGAAGGCGAGAAGAAATATCCTGACTTGTTGGTCAATGTTTCGCTACAGGCTGAAACAAGATGAAAGAGTTGTAAGTTGATGAGAATAAATAAAGTTTGTATGTTCCTTAAAACCAAAGTAAAAAATTTATTGATTGCTACCAATAAGAAAATTTTCGAGAGTCACTCCCACGTTCAATAAAAATTTGGACATATTTTGTTTAAACGTGCGAAGCGTTGCGGAGGATCAACATCAACTTCAACCCATCTGTGATGCAAGGTTTAGGAATCGAACCCAAAAACCGTGGGAGGGAGAAGTAAAAAGATAACTGCTCTCACCATTGGCTATACTTTTCCCTTCTCTCTCTTAGCAATTTACATTGCCTTCCTTTTTTTCAAATTTTGGCAGAGGACGACCTTTTTCCTCTGAAAAGTCGACAAGGCAAAAATGGGAAGTGACCCCTTTTCAATTTCCATCCTTTCCCAAAATTTTTCCCCACAATGTGACCGAGATTAAGTACACTTAACGAATGCTTCTATTAGAACTTTACCTTTTTTCGCTGACCAAGGTTTTTCTTCACAGCGGTTTCCCTCCTCAATGTACAGTCCTGTTAATGCTATCAAGTCTTCCCTTGTCTCTGTTTTACCTTGTATTGACACCTTTTTTTTGCATTAGACGATAGCAAAAAAGGGAGAAGAAAAAAGTCACAATAATGGTCGGTCACCAACTTGTTATTCGCAAACAATTAAAAAAAAGCAGACATGAAAATGGCGGAAATTGCGAAGCAAGGAACTGTACTCCACGCTACAGAAAAGAAATTTTTCTAAGGAAAGTATGAACGACTGGTTGAGTCAAAAAAATGTTTTCTCACACTTTTCTATGCTTAAAACCTGGAAACCCTTGCCCCTTTTTCAAACCGTGGACACAAAAATCTATTCTTCTCGAGAGGAACATGTTTATATTGTCCTTTACAGGGAATGACATCTTGGGAGATAAATCTGAGGACCGGAAGGAACCAGGCCAATCTGGCTTTCATTTACCTTTTCCTGCATAAATACCTGAAACTCAGAGAGAGAGTTCAAAGGAACTTGTCCATAAAGCCAGTTCCTGCCGGTGTTGCGATTCGAAATCCAGATTGGAATTTCACGGTAGGTTTTTGTCTTCCAATAAATTGAAAGTGTCTTCTTCCCAGGCCCACGCAGCATATAACGAAATTTTAGGCAATCACTATACCAGTCACGTGATCTATTGTATAGTGGGCTCACAAGAATAGCGGACTGGTTGAAGTTGGTGACGTTGGTATCCACTAAAAGTCGGCCACCTGCATTAGGAAGACAATTGAGACTATTTTGCATTGCAAATGATTTTCATTCACCTATCCTGAAAAAAAAACGAGCATTTGTTCATGTAGCTTGATGGTCTGGGTAAGGGCAGTCCTGGAAAGGTCTTTTGTCGGTGGTGGTGACTGACGTTTGGACAACCTTAGCGGAAGCCATCATCATTGAAATCATCTGAGTCATAAACCGAGTCACCGTGAGAGTCAATTTACCCGCCCAGTAAGAACTCAATGTAGAGTGTTTACATCAATCTAAGGATGTTCAAGAGGCAAATGTTTTGCTGGCGTGTTTAGAAGTCCCGTAAATCGATCCTAAAATAAAAGGGGTGTGGCCGAAAAAAAACGAACGACGGCGTTTTAATTGAGAAACTACAATTTTCTCGTTCCATTTCATTTTGTGGCTTCACCGCTATCAAAACTTCCTCAAAAATCATTAGTTACGCGGGCAAGTGGTTACCTAAAGGACTCATTTATTATTCAGACTTGAGAACAATGAACTAGGGGCTGCTGCTAATAGCTTTACCAATAACTTGCCTCCTCTATCTCTGCAGGTTCGAAACCATTTTACCGCCACTTCTTTCTGCAACCCATTTCTGATCATTTTCCATGCCTTCACGTCACCTTCTTCACTGCTACATCCAAATGACATGCGCAGTATTTCCTCAACGGGCATTGCATGACCCCAAAGATTGAATCCACTTAATGTACCCAGAGCAATTGACGCATTCTCACTAGAGTTTCTAAACCCGATAGTCATGGTTCCTCCCCCTGCGAAGGAAAGATTGAGAAACACTATGAAATTATGTGATAACAAAGAGATTTCATTTTAATGTCTGCTCTAATTATAGGGATAACCTCGGGAGTTTCCTTTTCATCATAAACTTGTATCATTGTTTCAGTTAAGACGAATGAAGTCTATGAGTGTCGAAAGAAATCCAGAATTGCGTTGATTTGCCTCATTATAATCTGTGACCGATCCAGGAGATTGGCACCGTCCGTACCCTCTCAGATCGGTCACTCAGGATTTCCCGCACTTCAGGCAAATTACTTGGTTTTACTTAAGTTTCTTATTGACCCCTTGTAGCATTATCCTTGGTCGAATACGCCGTTGCATGAATGAGCTCTACATGAAATATTTTCTTCTCTCATTTATTACTTAATTATTAGATCGCAAAGCCATATGTACATCCGCGTTTATGTTTCGGCATCCTTTCTCAAAGTCGACTAACTCCGAGAAAGAAGGAGTTTAAAAATGCAAAACAAAAATCAACTAGTGACAAAGAAATAACACTGTTGCTGACGTTATTGAGTGAGATACAGGCGATTTCTCTACCATAAGTACTGTGTACCTTCAATCTGAAAAGAAAACTGAAATCCAAATGAACTATATTTTCTCTCGCCATCTTTGAACACCTCCATCAGCCCTACGTGGTTATTCAACAATACACACACGTGGTGCCACATGTCATCTGCCACGCCTGTCGATATTTTGCTATGAAAAAAATTCAAATATAATCATTCAGTTAGAGTAAGAGAATATCAACTGGTTGATATTCCCTTGGTTAGAGCCAACCATTTGGGGATAAATTGTGGTAGTTATCAGTTGTGGTATAGGAATCTATCAGTGAGTTCTCCCCGTCTCCTCTCTATCTTCTTCACGGTAGAGGGTATGCTAGTGTGCCTAATTATGTCGAATCATTACTTTTTCTCTACCCTTTTGATACAACCCGCTTCAGGCAGCGTGTAAACGCGGTTCTTGAGATATTAGGACCTTGAGCACTCTCAGGGGTGGTGTCAAGGTAATGAGGAATAGAAAAGTGAACTTGAATTTGTCTGAAGAGTTTCACAAATGGCACTGTGTCCACCTCTAGCCGCGCGCCAAGCTTCATCTCCGGTACTCTACGCAAAGGCAGCACTGAGTTACAAATAGAAACAGGATTAATTTGTTGACAGTTAATCACTTCTCAGACAGCTGGAACTCGGGAATTTCTCGTTCTTGTTTGGCTGAACACGGCAATGTAAAGATTCTTACAACGCACTTGCAGAGCTATTGTTCTGCCTATTAAACCTGAAGTTTTGTTTTGCCTCGTTCGAGGTTTACCCTAACTCCTTTTATCAGCCCTTTAAGGCAACAATGTATACATATAATATTTTGTCCCGCACCTCCTCGTGTTTTTCAGCTGTAATTTAATGGTTTCGTTACCGACGTAGCATCCCAATTGCAGCGATTCACCTTGCTCCCGGGGGACTTTATATTCGATGAAAAAACCATCGTGAGTGGTCTTTATCCAAAAGCAGAGCGTGAAACCCCTCAGGAGGGGTGAAATGCCAGAGAATGACACATAGCCGAGATCAAAATCAGGAAGCTGAATCTCGTAGTTTTCTGGATCAAAAAGTCCTGTGATATTAAAACAAGAATTTCAACACAGCAGCCATATACAGACGTAACTTTCCTATAGGATATAGTGGAATGAGAGAAAGGTATGCGGGATTTATATCTAACTTCTTTTCAATAAAGTTCCACTTAGGAGGTTAGGTTAAGCACAAGGATTACGTCAAAAGACAAATATTTTTTTGAAGCCTACACTCAGACGTTAGCGCGCTGACACAAAATTATTTCAATTAACTAAGAAAAACAAAACTTTTTGCTGTTTTTTTTTCTGAGGATTTTCTTCAGTCTTGGATTCAGAAGCATATAAACTCGTTATATGCTTCTGAATGGATTATGTTAAAAGAAAGTAGATTCAAAGTTCATTTTTGTCGTTTGTTGTTAATACTACGGTCAAACTCACTGATATCACATGGCAGAGTAGTTTAGGCACTTGAGTTTTACACTAGGAGATTCCTGTCCACATCGTACAGTCAATCACTCCGTTGGGTTCGTCTTTTAAAATCTCAGTGTTAAAACACCTCGCAGCGCTTTACAATAGCAGTTGTGGTTTAAAAGTCTCTTAGTTCGTGAGAGCAGTGTTCCCAAACAGCAAATAGGAAATAGATATGAGAAAATTTAATGAAGAGTTATGTATACATACCATGCATAAAAAATTATGAATCAAATTCTGGTCGGTATGGGAGTTGAACCCATGACCTCTGCTATATCTCCGGTGAGGTGCCCTAACCGCTGGTTGAGAGTTGTATGATTTTAATATATTCACAGCCATTAAAAATTTTACCCACCAAAGCCAGTTGAGTCGTCTGAGTCAGCAACACCGCCTTGTTCGTCATTGTTGGTATTATTACCTTTGTCCTGATAGACATGGTCAAGCTCGTTGTGTTTGAGTCGCTTCCAGCCATGAATGCTTTTCCATCCACACCAATCTTGCGATATGTCACAGGAGCTGTCAGCTTAATGATTTCAGGAGAGGATCAACTCAGCTAAGATTAACAGAGACCTCCCTATATGCCAACCAGTGCCACTGTCACTGCTACTACTTCTAATATCACTAGTTATTACCTAGTTATTTTGTCACCAATGCAAAGACTTGTGTTTTATCAGAATCAGATGCATAAGGAAAATAGAATAGAAGGCAAACGAGAGTGTTTCCCGGTATAATAACTTTCTAAAGGAAGAATAAACACTATTGATTTACGTGCAGGACGGTGCTTTATCAGACAGTGTTGATTCATGAAACGATATATACATTACCTTTACAGCCATAGAGCTCCACTCTCATGGAGATGTGGCCTTTCCAAGCTATCGGTCGAAAGCGGATTACACGTGTTATGATAGGTGGATCAACTTGATGAAAAACGACACTGTCCATATTCGTGTTTCCATCAAATACCTTCATGAAAAAATGGTAGTACAGTTAATTGAAGGACTGCTCGTATATCTTGTCTAAATTGTATTCTTCTCCTGAAGTAATTTAAATGAAAATAGAATCGAACAAAATGGAAAAAGAACAAGTCCAAACTAACAAAACAAGCCCAAACGAACAAAACTGATTCCAGCAATATCGAACTCAGCCGAGCCGAATCCGTCTATACGCAATCAAACCGAGCCGAACCGACTCGACCCGCCCCGACTAACCCGAACTGTTCCGAACTGAATCAAACTAAACCCGGCTAAAAAAAGGTAAATTAACCGACCCGACCCATTTCGCTCCTATCCCACCCCGGCCCAGCTCATATCGAACTGTCCCGACCCGATTCGACGCGAGGCGGCCTATCCGATCCGACGCGACTCATATCGACTCGACCTAACTTGATTTGAGCTGAACCAAACACAATCAAACCAAAGAAAACTACCATTAACCAAATGCAATTTTGTTTGTTTGTTTGATTGTTTTTTTTTTTCATGAAAGAGACAATTGAATTTTGATTGCGATGTGTAAAGTCCAGCTCACCTTCTCTTCAGTATCTGCTGGTTCCTTGTAATACTGGAAGCTTACTCCATCCTCGCTATACTGCAGCTTGTATTTTTTTACCCACTGAGGATGACCATTCCTTCCTTGTGTTGCTACTCCCGTTACCTTCGTGTACTGACTTCCCAGATCGACCTGGAGCCATTGGTTACCGTCGTTTACTCTGGCTGACCAAGAACCTTGTTTAACGCCTGATCGTTTAAAATGTAATCTCCCCTGGGGAGGGGCATGATGGGCATCCCATTGCGAAGATGCAGAAATTTGTAAGTCGGAGATAGCTCCATTCTCCATGCCAAGAGGCTTTTGACAATCTGATGGTTTTTAGGGATTAAAAAGGAATTTGACCATCAGTGAAATAGAACGAATAGGCAAGGATCCACTGTAGATAATACTCTGCACTTCCTTAGCAGTGTTTGCCATGGTTGGAAGAAATTATGGAGGTCAAAAGAAGAAAGAAAACACAAATTACAAGATCCTCTTTATCAAGTAACACATGGGGGGCGGGGGGTGGGGTATAGGGGTACAGTCAGTTGTAACGATAAGAAGGAGCAACAAGATAAAACAGGCCCTCTAAAACGTAAAGCCCCAAAAGGTCTTCAAATGCACCGTCTCAGTTTCTCCAACCATTCCAATGTAGCTTTGGTCCCAAAAATATTGTGGCTCTCCTCCTTTAGCCATCTAACCCCAAAATCTAGATCTCCATTCCCCTACATGAATGACGTATATTTCATGAAATGCAAACCATACGTAGGGATGGCGGCTTATTTCGGTCTCTTGGAATCACAAATCATTGGCTTTTTGTAAAATGACATTCATTCTATCGGCATATTTCGCCCAGAATACCCACCAGTTCACCTCAGTGTTACTTAAGTTGGTTATTCGTGGGAGTAAGAGGTAAACGGGCACAGCGAATGTCGGTAATGTAAAAACTAAGTGACACGAACTTCAGTTTTACTATGAAGAATTGACATCTAGAGTAATCTTTATCTTTACCAGAACTCCAAGGAATTAGTTTGCAAGGTTCTTTGGTGAAAGAAACATCATCGATGGCTAAAAATGGTCTGGGAGAGAATCTTTTGATACCAATAAACAGAATCTGTTATCGATAAAAAAAGAAAGCAATTATGAGAAGATTTATGTACATACAACCATGAAAAGATGTGTCTTGAGGGGAAAAGAAATCATAATTTGGTTAAAACCCACTCTAGTTCCAGCAACACTGTCTTAGAAAGCACGTGCAAATCATAAAATCGTGATCACTCTGGAGTTTTCAGAGAGAAATGCAAATCTCTAGTTTCTTTCGCAGCCATTGCTTGGTCTATTGATCCACTCCCTCAAGTTGTGCCTGTTAATGGTGGGGTAGCTAACGCGTTTCGAGACGAGAACAGAGGTTGCGGAGGAGACTAGTAACTACCTGAATTTGAGTTGAGTTGATTGGTATCGGTAGCTGTACATATTGCCATGCGTTGGTCGCCTCTTCCGCATAAAAAAGCAGTTGAGTTTTGTTCGTCTTTACGTTGCCTAAGAACACAGTTAGTGACGTCCTGCTCAAGAGTTGAACTTGAACATGAGCTATGTCGGCGATGAGATACCAGAAGCGAAGGCATTTCCATTCGTAGGCATTTGTGTTGATGATAGGAGATGAGAGAAAAGATAGCAGTTCTGATTTTCTGGCCGGAAGAGAAGCGTATCCTACTGACAATAAAATTCGACGTCGTGTTAAATGAGTGTTATTCTCTTGACACTGAACTTTTACCGCTGACCAATTTTGAGATTCCAAAGAATATTCTAAATTTTTGACAGTCGTCTTTAAATATGCTAAAAATATGCCATGGAAGGCGCCATTTTGAAACTTGCCGAGGGTATAATGTCGTTTCCTAAGAACACTTTTAAGAATTCTGCATTTTTTTCCCAAAGTTATTGGAAAAAGTTAGGCAAACTCATCTCTCTCAGAGATGGCGAAAGTATCGCCAGATACTTCGTTAGCGCTAACTCACGATCTCACAGCTTACCTCGCTTTCCCATTCCCGCTACATGAGTATTCAGAACCCATCCATCATGAACGTGCCAATCGCACATACTCCCTTCGAAATAGCAGTCTGGACTCGCTGTCGATGGTTTAAGAAGAGGAATAGGTTTTAGATGCCATTTGTGTTTCTTTTTTCCTTAAAATAACACTACTGGACGGGAATATTACATATAAAAATGTAGTTAACTTGTCTTGAGGCCTTTATTACTAATTTGATCGTCTGCAAACACCTCGTTAGATGTACTTACTTTGTTTTAAAATTTTCTCACATGCTCCGTCCAACACCGTGAAATCATCTACTGCAATATCACCTTTACTTCCAGTGCCAACTGTTCCTTCTAGTACAATCTGACAATAACAATACTGATACTAAACAAAGGTTGACCTTTTTAACGCTTCAAAAAGCCGATGACGGAAGTAAAATAAGTTTTGCTAAGTAAAATAAGTTTCTTGTCTTGTTGGAAAAAATGTGATTAAGTGGATATCTGGTTATTATCCTCTGCCTAAATTTTTTAAGATACAGTGTACACTTTTGAATACCCTTATGAAAGAGATCCTTCTAATTAGGAACCCATGAAAACATGTTCATACAAAGAAAGAGACTTTCGGTTGGCCACCAGTCAGCAGCTACTGAATCAGATCGCATCATAGATCATACATTTTAATCGTCCTCTATTATAAGAGAATTGTGCTGATAGAAATCGTATAGATTGAAGGCTTTTCGTTGCAAATCTTTTTGAGAAATTGAACACTTACTTTAGACCAATGGGTGCTATTCAGACTCGTTTGACCAAATCTCCAGCGGTTTCCTTGATCTCCCGACACCATCCAAACAAGCGTTTCTGATTGGTTAGTTTTGAGGTAGATACTCAGATTACCAATGTCCGGCCCGTGCATGTGAAACCAGAACTTAACGCAAACTGTTTCATTAGGTTCCATCCAGTCGCTCAGCAATCTTGCCTCGTCTCCAAAGTTTCTTCGAGAAGCTTCGATATAGATATAAGAACCTGTAAAAATACATTACACGATTATTTTGGTGCCTGTTTCGTCATTCAAATTTTGAATGCAATTATATGAATCAATTCATTATCAGTTTAATAGCGTATAAAATTAGCAGTGTTTTGGCTGAGTTTTAGAACGCTTTTCTTTTGAGTTTCGTGAAACCAAAACCAAAACCAAAGTGATTAGAGTGGCCAATCAGAGCGATGGAATATGTCCCTTAGAGGACCAAACATGTTGCCTTAAAAATGAAATCGTGTGTGTCCTCAGCTTTGAAAGCACTGATTAATAGGGGTGGCACGAGTTTTCTGGACCAATCACACAGCGAAATGAAGCAGGACCGATGCAATCTCTAGTTTCTTTACAAACTCTTTCAAATATTGTTATATCCTGTCATTTTATAAATGATAAAAGTTATTTCATTTGTATTCGTTAGTTCTCCTTGTTGCTTTATTGAAGCTTTCCTGGCAGCAGGGATTTCTGTTCAAGGACTGTCTTACCATCCTTGCTGAACGATGTATGATCATAACTCGGCCCAGTTCTTTCCGTTAGCGTCTGGCCAGAGCCCACGGTCCATTGAAAAGTAGCATTCTTGTCAGGCTTTAATCCACAGCGGCCTGTTTGAAAGTTGCAGATACCTGACAGGACCAGCGGACAACGCAAAAGCACGATTACAAAAATAAAAACAACAAAAACAACAACAAAAACACACTAACAATTTGATAGCAAAATCTGGAACAAACGCCCAAGATTTCTATTTTTCTATATGTGAGGTAAATCAATACTCGATTGATGTAAAATTGTTATTACTGATTCCCATTTCGAAGAAAAATTTGACCCTTTTGTAGAACATTTGTTGCAAGCGATTTCAAAGCATTCTAGGTTATTTTTCTTCCAGTGCGTGAATAAGGAAAAGAATCCTTCTGGCAAAAATAGCTTATTATGCGTAAAAACTTGTTACAACTAATTCAAAACTTTTTTCTTGCCCTACCTCTGAAAGATCTGCATCTCTTTTGGGCTGTGGTATTTTTGGAGGTACAAGCTAAATCGTTAAGAGTGCACCTGCCAGAACCTAGAAAACAAACAGATGAGACAACAAGCAAAATTTGTAGCTGCTGATAGACAAGACACCGTGAAAAGAGCAGAAATTTTAACTAAATGAATCTGATAAACACAATGACACAATCATAAAAAGTTTGAAAAACTTTTGCAGAAATTTTTCCTCTTTTGACCTCTATGAAATTACTCTCAGACTATTTTTGATTTGGGGAAATCCCCGGGAGATCTTGATAAAAAAATCCTGCACAAAATGCGCAGAACCTTTACGACGACTTTTGGTTCTCATAATAGCATTAAGCAAAAGCTTTGAAAAATTACTGTGAAACAAGGCCGGAAAAGTTCAGATCCTAGCCAGATCCTCTTTTGTTGTTAAAGACTCGGTTATCTAATTCTGACTAGACTTTTTGATGCTCACTCCACTCCCGTTTCTTACTTACCGCACACAGATGGTGTGTTAGTTCCGTCCTTGCAGAAGGGTGTTTGACTACAAGTATCTGACCAAGAAATGCACGATCCATCAAGGCATTGGTGGCTAGAAGGACATGGATTACCTGTCAAATGAATAATGCACATTTCTGAGGGATGGAAATAGACCATCCGTATAGTATCTGAATATCATGATAATTTGACTAAATACACAAAGTCCACTCACGACAGTTTTTTTCGTCGTCACCTTCGGCACAGTCCTCGTTACCGTCACACACAGCCGTTGCCAGCAGACATCCTCCTCCTTGACAAGCGAATTTACTGGATGGACACTCACAATTCTCTTCATCTGAATGATCTTTACAGGCAAAATCGCCATCACACAACAAATTCTTCTCGACGCATTCACCATTCTTGCAGGTGAACTGGTCATCGTTACACTTGAAACCTAATCGTGTAAAGGCCAGATTTAGGATGAAACAAATCGCACAAATCGAAATGTTGGGCAAACGAAAAATCTGTTAATGTGAACTAGAAGCATGAAAAAAAAGTCAACTTTACAGTTTCAACATTCACCGCGAGCCATTTTAATGTTTAACCTTTGGTCATGAGTCATTTTGTAACGTCTAATGTTATGCAGTTTCTGTTAATACTTTAAAAAAGATAGCGATTTTGCTCCTAGCGAGACAAAAAAAAGGAACTCAGAATTGTCAATTTAGAACAATCTGTTAGTTTCTATTTTAAATCTCTTCGCACCCTGAACACCCCCTCCCATATTATCTATTTATTCCATTTGCCACTGAAACCATGGACAACAAATCAGAGATAAATAACAGAAGGAACTTTAACATTCATGTTAAACCTTTGTTCTTGAGATATCCTTTCCTAGAAATGAAAATAGAATCACCTGGCTGCGCAAAGTAGGGTCGTAGTGAACAATTCTCAGTAGTTATGATGATGTCATCAATTGCAACGTTGATCTTGTTTTCAAGAACGCCTTCTCCTTCGAATATAACCTAAAAGTGTAACACCAAGAAGAACTATCAAGTTTTAATTAAATAAGTGAAGTATGGGGCATTACTTCTTCATTTCTCTGTTCTTACTTGAATTCCCTTGGCTCCTGGCCAAGCAACCTGAGCCGGTAACCATTTTTCACCGTGGTTTCCGGTCATGTGCCATATTAACACCACATTCCGTTTATTTGGATCCCGCAGGTAAACCTTAAGGGTCGGCTTTGACTTAGCAGGCAGGAGATATTTAAACCGGAAACACAAGCCCACGGATCGGTGAAACGGCTTCCACGGTAATATCGGACTCTCCATCCGTGCTTTGTAAGAAGCATCGACATAGGCGAAGCTACCTGTAAGGACAAATTAGGGTTAGGTTACTTGCGATTAACTATCGCGTTTCAACTGAGCCAAAATCGGAAGTATCCGATGTAAAGTGCCTTGCTAAGGAAAGAACATCGTGAGAGCATTAAAGAAACAAAATTGATTTTCAGACGTACAGCCGCTGTACAGCCTGGTTTCAGTGCCCTTAATGTATCGTTACTCCTCCTGAAAGGGATGTTATTCTTTTCGAGTTATTCCCCTTCCCTCTCCTTCCACCCCTGCATTTTCCCTGACGAGTTCCCCAGACAATTTGCAAGTGATTAGCATCTAGCATGGCCTCTAATTTTGAATCAGCGGGCTCATACTCATAGGGCAAGGAAGACGGACTAACAAAGCATATAGCACTTAAAAATATATTTTTACTTTCTATTTTCTTCAGATTCGCGGATTTTTTGGCGCTAACTTGAATTACCCTCCTCCCTTCCCCTCCTTCCTACGCTCCTTTCAAGCCACGCGACCTCTGCAGCTCTGAGATTTCCCTATCTGCTTAAAACTAACCTGGATAGTTAATAAAGGTATTATCACCAGACAATTTCCACTTTCTGGACATGTCCTCAGGGTATGCCCATCCGCAATATCCAGACTGGAAATAGCAATCTTCTACCACCACGGCTGATAAGTAAATTGATAAAAATGTTTAAAAATTAGAACCGACAGAAAATTGCTATTTAAAATCAAATACGAAAAAGATCGAGCAAGGCGAGAGAAGAGTTAAGCGTGAAGTAGAACTCATTTTAGCACCGTGACATTAAAACATGGCCAATGTAAAGCGACATCTTGAAGTTTCAAAATTGAACAAAACATGAAAGATTCCAAACTATTGTTGCTTTCAACGATGAAAACGTAGTACATTTAAATCAGATGGCCCATTTATTGCTATAAAATGGCTTCAACTGGTTGAAAAAGAACGGAATTCACCTTGAAGATGGAGATGGCCTAACACTCTCAGGTTGACAATATTCTCCTGATTACTTGGAAACGAAGAAGCAACCTGTTTTGATATGCAGACATGTTAAAGAGCCTGTTGGAAACTTTCTCCATGGGAACACCCTTTCTTTAGTCATCTTTTTAAGACAGGTTTAAAAAAATAGCACACCTTAAATATTTTTGGCAACTTTTTTACTTTACGATTACTAAATTGTGACGCTCACATTTTAACGAACTGGTATAACGTATCCTCGTAAATGAGGTTCAAGTTGAGTTATGTCTATGAAAACAGGCTATCTGCCTTTAATGTTATATATCTGACCTAATTTTCGGATAATGTTGGGTAGGGAATCGCAAAAAGCCACAGAGGACAGTCAAAACAGAGAAAACATGAAAAAGTTTCATTTGGTTACTATGCCGCAAAATAATCAAGTAAGTCTTGATTCGTACTGAAGTGAGATCTTTTGCTTTATAATACGTCATTAATTGACAAAGCGTATTTGGTCAAGATGACTGCATGTAATTCTCGTCCTTCTTTTTAATTTTTATGTACCTCTACTTCGTGTCACTCCAAAAAAACGTAAAGCAAAGAATTTGGCCGATATTCAGCCATCTTGACCTCACGCTTGGTCAATAACGCACGTGCACTGACCTCCACTGTGAAATTCCCTGGCTGTTTGATAGTGTCAAATACAGCCGTGAAGGATGTGTTCACACAAGACAGGCTCACTGCTGGATTCACTGTTATATTTTGTCCAAGCGTTAAGATATCCAGTTGTAACGGGCAGTTTGGGCAATACAAACCATCGCAACAGAACTGGAAAAATCCTATTTGAAATAAAAATCAGAAGGATTGTGTTCCACGTCTGACGTCTATTAGAGCAACTCAATTTTTTAGCTTTTTCTCCTGAGCTGGATGAAGGAGTAACTCTTTTTCATTAAAGGTTTACTATTTTACAATCGAAGCTTCTGTAGAAAATAGTAAAGTTACTTTTCTAATCCTAAAACTCCCATATTACAAATATTTCGTAATAGAAATGATTATAATTATAATTATAATGCCAGCTAATTTTTCCAACGATGATAAGACAGTCATTCATGTTAAAAAAGAAAATTTGAGGATAAGAGGTCGGTTAATTTTTAATATTCTGGTAACTTAAAGGTACATGTAGCATCATAATTAACATGCAAGACCTGTGTAACTCACCTGAAATGCGCAATTCCGAACCAACAAAGCCTGATATAAATGTTTCGTGATTGTCGAGTGTTAATTCTAGCCTGCGTGTCCCTATCACAATTAAAAAAACAGTAAAGAATTTAATGATAGCTCCACTACGATTCTGAATGACTCTTGCCTCCCGGCCATGACAGCTGATATATCTTACGACACAAGCGCAAGTCATACCTGGTTTAGTCCAAAATAGTCTTCTTCCTGGAATAGGTCTTTCATATTCACCATTTGGTCTACGCATGCCCAAAGATACGTGGTCAAGGCCTGCTATTTCACTCATAAAGACCTCCATTTGGTAAATGCGGCATTTTTCCAAATAGACTGGTTGCGATGTTTGCTGGTCTTTATACCTGAAAAAAAAGACAACAAAAACAACAAAAAAGCGTGATATAAAAGAAGAACAGCCAGAAACCTTGTGGTATATTCCTAAAAAGCTTGTGGCGGTTTTTTGTGTGAATCTGAACAGCAGTAATGCTCCTTTTCTTTGAGTGTTTTAAAAATCTGTCGAAATGGTTTCCCCGAATATCTTTGAACGTACCAGGATGCACGTTCAAGTTTTAAGCGAAACCAACCGTATCAATTATTCTTTTACTTGTCTTACTTGTCCCATTGATGGTGGTCAGTCCATCTTTCAACGGTAATGATTGGTTGCTTTGAAACAGTCCTTTCTGACTTCTTGTCAACACTTTCAATGCCTTCCTCAGTAACATCGTGCATCCATAGTTCACATAAATCATCGCATGACACGTAAAATGTGTAATTGCCACTTTCAGGAGCCTGTGAAAGGATAAATTCAATTTCTAAATTTTAAAAGGAAAGACACAGAATAACCCAAGGTTACACAAAATTGCATCTTCGAATACTTTTTTCTGATGAGCTATTTCGCTGTTTCGCTGTTCTGCCACTCATTCTAAGTCACGCGATTTTCTACGAGTTCCAGTACGCAGGTGGAATTTATGGAAAAGCGAGTGCACTTTTTCCACCTCTATATTCGTTGAGATAATATATTCGAAATTCCCACCTTAGATTTTTCTGTTGTGCGATTTTTGTTCGTTGACTTTCCACGAAATACTAAGGGTGAAGCAGTCATTTCAACCGTTACCACATTGAAAGACCGTTATTGACTCTCGAGGCGATTTCCCAGAGTTGGTTGATGACTTGTATTCACAATTATAGTGAAAAACGTACCTGTAAGTAACTAGTCAAACGTTGAATGTACTTTTCTGCCACGTTTACTGGTGCATCGAAATTTCGCAAGATTATTTGGCTTTGAGGTTTGATTCGGAAAGCAGGATTTTCGCGCATAGTTGGTGCCTTTTTAGTGTCGTAGTTAACGTTATACCATGCATCACGCCAGACTCCGTGGATTTCCCCTGTAAACTCTACAAAATAACGATAGATGGGAGCCAAATGAACGAAGATAAACACACCCTAGCTATGAAAAAAAAAAAGACATTTGAAATGCAAGATGTGTACGAAAAGATACAAGTTCTGAACAACAAAGTGTCATTAAGTTGCACTAAAAGCTTTAAAATTGTTATTTTGTCAGTATATAGGCAAATGTGTGTGTTCTCTGGATAACTGAGCGGAAATTTACTATGTAAACAGTAACAAGGCAGAAACTTTTCAATTTTAATCAATTATCTTTTGACCGAACGAAGTGGCAAGTATAAAACAAAGCTGCGTGAGAGACCTCTCTCCTGCGGTTCCTTTGAAAGAGGAAGCTTCGAAGTAACGTGGATACCACAGTTGTGTATAAACTTTAATTAATTTACTGCAACAGGCGAGACTTACCAATTGTGCGAATCACAACCTGGCAAAGAACTAGCGTGACATTGTTACCAATCAATTTCAATGTCACATAACGTCCACGCGCTGGAGGAGAACAGCGTACTTTATAATCCCACGATTTCCCATAGGATACGGACTTGGTACAAGATGGTAAACTGGTTTCATCTGTAGATACGTTAATGTTGAGTATTCCTTTATCTTGTGGACAGCAGTCAATGTTTTCGGTGATCTCAACAGATTCAACGTGAAGGGGCTTTACAAGGGTCACCTGCCACCAAGGGTTGGACTCCTGCAAGAAACGAGGGCAAGAAAAAATATGAGAAATAATGAGAGGAACACAGACAACGAGAAACTGGTAAAATACCCAAACAAACAAACAAAAGCTACAACAGACAGACGATTGTCTGAGTCACCATCAATCAAAGGTTCATTTTATATATATATATATATATATATTTATTTATTTATGCATATAGGCTATATATTCTATCACAATAACCCTTACCTTTTTTGACCTAAAGCATGTGGAAAAGGATCTATCAATGGCCAGAGAAAGTTCATGTGGTAGCAGAACACTCGAGCTTTGGAGCAAATTTTGACGTGAAAAGGAATTTTCTGAGAGATTTAAAAGTAATGATGAAAGTTAATTATGTTTGTGGCCGAAGAATCATAGGAAAAGTCATTACACATGTTCGCGGATACCAGTCAATTGTAAAAAATACTTTAAAAAAAAGGTGAGAATATCTTTTCAAGTTTCATTTCGTGTCATAAATCGGTTTAAGTAATGTTCGCTGTGTTTTAAGATCAGGCTTTTCTTGAAAAGTCAGCATGATAACAGACTGATTGGCAATTTTTTGCCAAATATTTCGCTGGCAGTTTAGACTGTGGGACATACCGGACCGTTTGAAGCACAGAGCATTCTTATACGTTTTGCAATCTACGTTCTTAATTCTTGATGAAATAGCCGAGAGAACTGCACAACTCTGGACTCCATGGTAGCCGGAAGGATATCCAGGCATCCACAGGGAGGCATTCAATGGGTTGCCATCAATCCAAACCCAGTCATCTCGCGCAAAGAAACCAATATGCAAGTTCTCCGGTTTTGGCCTCATTCCTTCCAGCTTGTTAGATAAGGCAGACCTTAAGCCTTCCCGTGATACTTTGGCCAGTGTACCACCTTTTCGATTGCATTCCATTTGAGCGAAATTCCATGTCAGTGCGCTCTGGGTGTGAATAGAGAAGCAACCACCTCGGAAATGGAAGAAATTTGGACCGCATGCAAATGGTGCTGAAAAAAAGTTGAGAGTAGGGTTTTTAAAAAGGGACTTCCAGTTCGTTGGCATATACTATACCGAGGCTCTATAAATTCTTCTAGTTGGTAGCTATCAGTTAAACTGCGTCAATCCTTTGGTCAGCGAAAGCTGTCTGTGAAGAGCTCTAAATCAGTATTTTTAAGAGTACTTATGAAGAATACTGATGCAGGGTTTCAGTGTTGTTTGGGTTTTTTTGTTCACAAAAGAATTAGTATTTAATTTAGAAAATGCTTGTTCATAAGGCATGTGGATATATAAAGCTGAAAAACTGGGAAATTTTGGCTTTTCAAGAAATAGAAACATTTTAAAAACCATTACTCAAGGATTTGTAAAAGTATTCAACAACTCACCAGTTTTATTACACCTTGTCTTGACTTTGATTATTTGCTCTATCGATAGTGCCTGATTGTAAACTTGTAAACAGGAGATCCTGCCGCGAAAGAACCTATTCCATCTGTTTGTACCTCCAATCAGCACCCCTGAAGCCGTACTTAGTTCCATATTTACTTTGAGAACTCTTTGGGTCACAACACTATTATTGACAAAAATAGTTGCAATTCCTGTTTGGTAATCATACGTCGTTCCAATAAAGTTCCATTTGTTTAATTTCAAGATGTTTCTCTTGTAGAGAAAGTATGCCTTTAAAGTTTTCCTATCCATATATGTCACTCGAACACCAAGTGATTGATGAATCACCTTCAGCGAGCAAGTAAAAAATGCATAAGCTGTTTCAAACTTGTAAATAAACCCGGTGGAGTTTTGGAGATACACCCAAGAAAAAATACTAGTAGAAAACCTTGTGTCAAGTTCTCCGTTATTTTCGAGGTGTACGAAACTGTCATTCATACCACTGAAGAAGAAGGAGCCATTTGGATTTCCAAAAGGACCAGGTGCAAACGTAATGCCATAGGACTTAGCTTCAGTGGCTCCATTTGGACTCAAGTCTACCGTTCCATTAGCACCTCTCAGAGGAAAGAAAGCCACTGGCATAGGAACATCTTACAACACACAAAAAAACGACTGTCGTGATCATCAAGACATAATGGTATTTAATACGTTTATCACGGTCGGTGAAGCATATTTTTTTGTATTATAGGCCAATGAAAAATGAAAAAGAACAATTACGCAAAGCACACTCTACCTTGAACTCATTTTTTCTACATGTCTTTGCTACTCTATCTTTCTATATGTCTTTGCTGCTCTATCATTTCTGATCCAGGATAGTTTATGGGGGGAATTTTGCTTAGTTAGCCCTCCATTACCCTCGTTTTGAGGAGAAAGGCAGATATCCCCACAAATTTCGCAGCCTGAGGCTCTTAAGCACCATCTCTAAATGGAATACAATACTTTGAATCAACGCGAAAATAACTCAAAATTTGTATTAAACTGCAGAAGAAGTTTCCGTTTGAGCAACTGAAATAATTTTTACTAGATCGATTTCTAAATTTTAATTACGTATCTTTGGAAACCATACCGAATGGCTGTTCACAGATGTACCCTTTAACACTGTTGCACGATTGATCGTTCCAGCGCCATCCATAACCAACCCAGTTGGAAGACCATCTTATAGCATTCAAGAAAGACCCACATTTTCCATCTCCACTCGGCTCCCTCGGGCCCCACAGATTATACTTATTAGAAACCACCTGTCCATCTATCCAGACCCAATTGAATTGACCGGTCAATCCAAGATAAATTCCACCGCGGGTGTCAAATTTTAGCTCTCTTCTCCTATTGGCTAAAGCGTCCATCGTGGACGCGTCCTTGGCAACGGCAATATCGGCGTTGGATAGGTGGCAAAGCCTTCGTGCGTCACTCCACTTAAAGGTTGAGCTTAAATAGAACAGAAAGCAGGAAGTACCAGCTCTGTGCCAGCCGGGTTCGCATCCAGAGGTTATATTACCGCCTAAAAAAATAAGGCCCGAAACATTAATCATTAGTTAATGGTTTCTTATTTATGTTAGCACCCCTCATGTAAAAGGTTCCTTTCCCTTAGATTTTCTTGCAGACGACTTTAAGAATGATCTCTATAACCACGGTGTTTTTAATGTATTCTATTTTGAGCAGAAACAAACGCTTTACGAGTGTTACTTTGTTTTGTATTCTCACCTGGTTTAGAAACATTAAGAGCGTAAAAAGAGAATACTGTTTTTATCCCACAGCAACTGTCATTTCGGTGATTATCGAGGCTTATCATCTGACTGTACGGACTTCTGTCAATCAAGTAAATCTTTCGAGCGTTAATCTCTGTGCCACTGCTTAGGACGACAACATCCAGAGGAAAGCTTGTGTAATTAACAACATCCAACTTTGGTGTGATGAAAATTTTTTCCTTCAACACTGCAGGGTAGATAAAGTATGGTTTCTCTTTCACATTTCCCCGTGCTTTTTCCAGAGTGAATCGAAATTCCTCTGAGTAAAGGCTGTGGTCGGAGGGCTGCAAACCTATTCGAAAGTTTCGGCCTTTGTTCGAAGAAACGTAGAAGGTTTTTGATTCTGGAGATGAGAGAGGTAAGTAAAGAAAATATAATACAGGACCATGCAAAAAGTACAAAACCGAAACTGAAGTGGCGAATTATCTAGATGGAAGAGAGATGTACCTCTTTGGAAACAAGTTCCCCTTTGGAATGTGAGGTCGTCAAGTGCTGCATCTCCGGAGTAACTTCTGCCTCTGATACCATCTATGACTACCTACAAAGAGATAAACAACTGTACCTACCGGCACTTCTGAAAACTATCAGTCTAACAGGGTAGGTCATCGATAGAGACAATCATGGTAGAGAATTGGTTCACTATGTTTAATAAAGAAATATTTAACAAGTTAGACTGGACGGAAAACTAATATCGATGACTTTTATCAATGAAGCTTTACTGTTTAAAAATATTAAAAAAGTAATTGTCAATCTAAATTTTGTCGTATAAAATCCTTAAACTTACGCAGCAAGAGAAAAGCAAAATGTTAAGAATTGTTCACGATCTTTATAGAGTTAATATTGCGTGGATGTAAAATCATAGCAACATAACCTACTTTATACTGTCCTGTCCCGTTGAGACTAACTTGCTCGCGTATCCATTGATCTCCTTTATTCTCGGACTTAAGCCAAACCGGTTTAATCCTGTTTTCATTTTGGTTCCGTACGTAGATAACAACACAGCTCATAGTGGAGCCAAACATGTGATAATAAAATGTCATGCACTGTGGTCCCAGCATCCACGGACTCTCAAGCCTCGCTGTGTCTCCACGGCTTCTAGGAGCGGAAGCCTCGATATAAAGGAACTTTCCAAATCCTATTTTTGGAAATAAGATGATGTTAAAGCATCTGATGACATCGTGACGCGTTTTACAACATCATTCTCTCAGATATAGTTTCCTTTTCGTCTTCTTGTAAAATCTTTACGTTTCAAAATCGAAAAAAGGGATCACGCGGAGAGCAAACATAGTTTCTGTAAAGTGCTAATGAAATAGAGCTAATAGAAATAATGAAAAAGATACAGTTTCTAAGGTACAAAATCCATCTTGTCTCTTGTCACTCAAAACCCTTTTTCTTCGTCAGGAACTTCCTCCAATATTCTCTTCAAGCAGGAACCTCTTCAAATTCATTATTTACCGTCTGTGTTCGCATTCACCCTCGAAATGTGCACTTTTATAATGGGGTTACCTATAGTAGCCTCAAGAAAGCAGTGTTGGCATAGTTCTTTAGCTCAGTTCGAGGTGAGCTGATACATGTGTCAGTCGGTAGAAGTAAAAACATAGAGTAGGAAAAAAGTGATGAAAATAGCAGGCGAAATGTCAATATTCGACAACTTAGGGGCATTGCAGCTCGAGATGTTATTTTACCTTGACGTTTAGCTGTTTTTTTGCCTCTCATTTAACAGATTTATACATAATGTCATCTCAGACTAGTTCTCTAGTGTGTCCAAAGTAAAATCCTAACAAGAAATTACCTGATGTATGATCAGCTCTTGGCCCAGTATTAACACTCGGAGTAAATCTTCCGATTGACCATTGAAAATCTGCTTTGGTATCTGGCTTCCAAAAGCAAAAATGGGAATCAAAGTTGCAATTTCCTAGAAAGAGAACGAAGGAAAAGATCAATCGTGGTAAATTTTTGTATTATACATTTGTCCAATGGTGAACTAAAAAGTGGTGAAGAAAATTAAAAACTAATAAACAAACAAAAGGAACAACAATACTCAATTAAGAAAATGAAATCTTCCTTATTTCATTATTTTGGCATCAGTTTGATCTCAATTGATAATCAAATGCACAAGAAGGCATTATGGAGAACAATGTCTGTAATCGAAAAATTATGGAAATATGATGTGAATGCTCAAAGCTACCACTGATATTCACCAAAGAAGTCAGCTAAGTAGGGCCACATGATATTACGAAACAGTAGTAAAGTACAGCTGTAACGTGCAGTTACTGTTGTAAAATACCTAACTGTTCGCCTGACGTTTCGGTTCGATTTGCACACGTTCCATCCGTCAATATCACATCATCGACTGCCACGTCCCCCTGGTAATTAGGGCCAACGACTCCTCGTAGCGCTACCTGCAAAAATTTTGTCATTGATATTCCTGAAATTTTTCGCCGCGTAAACCATTGCAATTTATACTTATTGGTATTTTACTTTCTTCGGTGTAATTATCACTTAAAATTGTCTGGACACTTGTTTCTGCGAGAACTCCAACAAACAATCATTTCTACGCTAAAGCTCAGAACATCAGCACTATCGTAAACATTGAAATAGGTTTGGAAACGTCGGTACGATATATGTATTTCTTTATATTTCGGACGAAGTTCTCCAGTTTGCAAATTTATTGCCCTTTCAATACTTCTTTCTCTTCTTCTAGTTCGCTTCCAATTCGAAGTTTTAGCTCCGATATCTAACTTACTAACTATCTAACAAACCCGGCCCAGATTGTAGGAAAATTTGGGTTGACCTCAGTCGGATTCTGGTCTATGTTTTTTCTTCTTAGGCTCCGTGGATGGGTATCAAAAACTTATCCAGGATCATCGAGTGCTTTCAAGGGAAGAGGAGGCCGTGGGATGTAAGGTGCCAGAGGAAAGAATCTTTGTTGACAGACTCATTACGCCGGAGTTCGTCACCCTATGGAATCGATAAGATAAATCCTACCTGAAACTCGTCCACATTAGGTATATCGACAACGGCCTTTCTCCACTGGTTGCCTTGGTTTCCAGTCCTTTGCCAAGTCAGATAACTTTGTGGTTGACCCGCAGCCCTCACCAATACATCAAGTCTTCCCATATGTAATCCATACATGTGATAAAAGAAGTGTAAACATTTTGGTCCCCAGATGAACGGACTCAGCAGTTCTGCAAACTGATGTTGTTTTGCCGGGTGTGACGCTTCGATGTGGATATATTTTCCACCTCCTGTAAAGATATGTGCGAATAATTACTGATAAGCAGCTATTATGATCCATGCTCTGCTAGACAAGAACGCGACCGGCGAAGAAAAAAAGTAACGAAAAGAAAATGAAGGAAATCACTGTAGTTTAGTTACAACAGAAACGCTTTGCTTAGCTTTAAACTTAAGTTTATTCCTCAGTATTGAACTGCACATCCTCTACTGTGCATAAAAATCATGTAATCAGGCGAATAAACGCGTGCTGATTCAGAGAACACAGTAATGAGACATAAGCGGCTTTTTTACCTTCACTAGAAATCGTTTGCGATCAAGTACCAACCTGTGTGGTCTTCGTTCGGTCCAGTCCCATGGCTTGGTGTTCCATGTCTTCTTAGTACCCAATCCATTTGGTCTACGGTGAAATTCAAGTTGCGCCATCCGCAGAAACCCTCATCAAAAGTACAGTTCACTAGAATTTCAAACGGTTAAGTAGAACGGAGAAATTCACTAAACAATAAAATGGAACATTATTTGCATAACCAGAAATTAAGAACGGTTACATCTTGCCGGGTGACTTACACCAATAAGGCCTATTGAAGCGAATGCAAGTGGCTTCACTCTCTCTGTATGGGATTCTATTCAAACACAGGTCAAGCGTCTTGATTTTTTCAGGCTTCACTGACATACTGTCAGTTTATCTTTTTCCTTCATAGTCAATGCGATAGAGTCGGCTTACGAGGAAAAGGGTCCGTACCAAGGTCCATCATTCCCAAGCTTATTACTGCTTAAGTAGGGGAACTACATACTGACCTGCCTCATAAATTCGTTAAGTTCTCCGACAACTTGCCGAAACACATATTAATGCTACGAGATTATGTCTTTTGGCCGAACCACGATACAATATTGCAGTCGGCCCGGGGCTTGCTCCCCGAAGTCCTAAGTGCTAACCTCCGTGTGTCCCCGTATATACCTGATGCTTTGAAAACAAAGGTATTTTGTCTACTAAAGATAAACTAATTCCCTCCGTATATATAAATTTGCTAAAAAATATTCGCTTTCTCCAGTTGTAAGAATGTGCTTGACATTTATCTTCTAACTGTACCTTCAAATGCCCCAGCTGGCAGTATATTCTCAGGAGAGACGCACGTTAAATTTGTGCTGAAACTAATATCATCAATGGCAATATCAGCTGTAAAACTTGCGCCTGCCATACCCTCAATTATGACCTGAAAAGAAATGATGTAAGCATTGTCAGAGCAACGATTTACAAGAGTGATTGACTGGTTTATTTAGCGATTCAGTAGAACAAGGAAACAGATTAAGACATTTATATTTCTTGAGAGATACGGATGCCAATAAACTTGCTTGATGCTTATACGAATGATTTGTTACGAAGTGGTAAAGCAAAAATTGGGGCTCATAGGTGACTATAAATGGGATGGTCAAATAACATGCAACAGCACTCCAAAAATAAATTATCTTTGATCTTCGAGGATATTTTTTCCCATAGTGCATGGTATAGTGTATTGACTGAGATTTGCCTCGCTACCTGGTAGCTTCCGGTGTAATTCAAGGTCGTACAGCCCTCAGTCCAGCTGCTGGAAAGTTTTCCTCCATGACGGCTCCATACCCTAAATTCTTTTCCCGCCTGATCTCTAATATAGACAGACAGAGTCTCAACGGCGCTGCCGTACATGGAGTAGAAAAACGTTAACCGCTGGTTGCCTCTCATCCAAGGACTGTATAACTTGGCCCTCTCGTGATACCTACGTGGAAGTGACGTTTCGATGTAAATGTATGAGCCATTTCCTGAAAACAAAAATTTAGTTTGACCGTTAACTTTACATATAGGCATCCGACGTCAATCGGTATCCAGCGTCTCCTCTGAAAGAGTGGTCTGGTCACAGATTTGAATGGTGCCACGATCGTATTTTTGTTTCATGATATTGAAAAAAACAACAACAACAAAAGAACAAAACAACAACAACAACAACAAAAATTGATTTGGAGGCTGTTACAATTTTCTACCTGAATGGTCTTTGCTAGGTCCTGTGTTAAGACTAGGAGTAGCCCCTTGCCGGAGTAGCCAATCAAAATGATCCATGCCTCTTTCATTCCGCCAATTGCACAACGTTTTTTGATCAAAAGAGCAATTCCCTGGAAGCAAAAGAGGTGTTCAAATATGATTTGATTTAAGTAAAATATGTTCACAAGTTTTAACGCTTTAACAGGAGATCCTCACTCAGTGGTTGTCAGGCTGCGGTAAAGATCTTAACCACTCAACCACACATAACCCTTTAAAATTAGATCTTTAGAAAATTTAGAAAGGACCAGTTTTAACGTTAGGTCGTTGTACACTTGAAAGAAAGAAGAAAAAAAAAAAGAAAGACAAAGTGAAATACTACGGACAGAAAAAAAAAAAAAAGAAAAAAGAAAAGAAAAAGGTAGATGAAGGAAGATAGGCAAAGTGTTGATGCTGAAACTTTTTTATAAGATGTAAAATAATTTAAGTTTAAAGCAGATCCTACGCTCAACATTCGAGGTTTTTGTCGACTTGTTATCATGAGTTAAAGACAAGCCTAAGTGAGGTCACATTCCAGTTATTGCTTGGAAGCTCAATGTCACCCTGATAACTAACCATGACATTCAATTACCTGAAGAAATTTGATTGCGCAAAAACACCGAATCAGATTCACAGCAGTGCCACAGCTTAAATCAGGACACAGAGATACAGTTCTTTTTTTACGGCATGAGATCATAATTAATGATTAAACGTTTTCGAGAAAAGTTCAACGTGTGGTTTACTATCTCCCTTGTTAATGTTTGTTGTCATAGAAACCCAAGTTAGATTCATGTCAATAAAACAGCGGCCACTTGAAAAAAACGCTTTAATTTCAAATTGATACCCTTTATTCTATATTTCTATGAAAAAAATTGTTAACAAAGATCTCTATAAAATTGATTCCTAGTGGAGTATTCGGAGAGTGACTTTAAACAGTCTTTTCATCATAAAAGTCCTCAATTGCCCGCAAATTGCCAATAACGCATGGAAATTTCACATTTGCGAGTTCTGAGCCAAAGGTCTGCAATTGCCCTCTTTTCAATTAACTCTTATCGGCAGTGAGGTTATGCTCAACCATAGGCGGATGATAAAGTTGGTGAAACCAAGAAAAGAAAAAAAAAAAAAAAAAACAATTTAGACGCTTTCTGAATGCTTACTTATGAAATCTTATAAAAAGAGAATTTCGGTCATTTACATGATTGAACTTGCAGCTGCATTTAACAAAGCCGCAGATTAAACGTCGTAGTTAGCGATTCTATGCCAAGGAAAGGGAGAATGTAGACGGAAAACACCGGTCAAAAGACAATCTGTGAAATATTATCAATAAGTATCATATATTCTCAAGCCTGATATCAAATGCGCTTTTTACTCCTTCATTATTGCAGATCGGGATACAAGGAAGATGTCCTTTACTTGGACGTTTTAAATTGAATTGGATGTATTTCCTTTCGTTGATTTAGTATGTCATTGGCCTAAATTTTACTTTCTTTATATTTCAACAATAAAAACGATAAAAAGATACCGTATGACGAAGGTTTTGGAGGACTGAAATTTAAAAAGAGGGAATATGTGAAATACCGGGGATTTTTCGATATTTGAAGATGAACAAATTATTTTGTTTATTTTTGCTAATGGTTAACGCTGATTGCGAATTTGAATAATCTTCGCGATGGCAAACACTGAGAGAAACAGTAACGTCTACAACCTTGAATTTGGAAGGAAATACAAGTAATGGAAGAGAAAGACAATTTATCACTTACAACTGACGTGCGGAAAATCAGTAAGAAAAATGATTGGCAAGATGTTGTCTTGGATATAAGAAAGGAAATTAATTTCACGCATTTCCTTTGTAAAACCTACCATAATCCCAAATGGAAAACTTACCGGTAAGGTCTTGAGAAGAGCCACCAATTGTAGCGAGAAATACATGGGTCAAAAGCCATATCGATAATTCTTGGAGGAACTTGAACATAATGATCTCGTAGTATGCACAGTCTAAAAAATTAAGACAAAAAAATAGTAACAGTGCTTTTAATGTTTCTGAAATTGATTACTGGTGATGAAGTATTTTAGAATCAAGAGAATATAAACAGTTTACATTCTCTTGTTGGAACAAAATTTGCAATGATTTTACCTGGTATTTTAAGTTGGCGATTGGCAACTTTGCAAAGCTGTCATCCCTCAAGGAAAGTCATACCTTCAATCGTATGTTGTTACATGCGCGCTTGTCAAAGAAAGGGTGTTTAGCATAACTTATTACCAAACATAGAAACTAAATATAATCAATACAAAGTGAAAAGTTGAAATCATAAAGGCCGTAGGAGAAAATTGCGTCGGAAAAAAATAATGAAAAAAAACTTAAACAAATAGGAAGTTTCAAATTATTAAATCATTTAACACCAAGACAGGGCATTCGCATTTATTCTTTATCTCAAGCGGCTCAAACTTGGCAAAGGAGTCAACTGTTTTGATAAATAAAACAGCCATCTGGGACATTTACTTTTTACATAGGGAATAAAATTATTTAGGACATAATACTGATATTGAAAATATTCTACCTTTTAGATAGCTAAGCAATTAAATACGCGAGGCAAGAAAGAAAAAGCTGAATCTATAAAAGGAGATTTCAAGAGAATATTGCTGCTAAATATTTGTTAAAATTCTATGTTACCAGCTGCAGTTTCGTGCAAACGAAATCAGTTGTTGAAATTCCGTTTGTGGAACATCATCGTCGAAAATCATTATTTAAATATGTCACCTTTGGTTATTGCTAATCGCTCTATCACTTTTCACAGAAGTTGCCATTTGATTTTTTTTTGTAGCTATCAAATTGGACTGACATCCAAAATATTTTCATTCGGCTGTGATGTTTCTCTCTTTATTTTACTCGGACATCCATTTACTTTTGAAGACGTTAGTCTTACGAAAATACAACACCGGTATTTCAATCGAAGCCAAACTTAACTGACGTTCTTTTCTTAATCCAATTGTTTCAGTTTGATCGGAAAATGTCTCATGACGAGTTGCTGTCTATCGAAAATTGACTAACAAAGGCTGGCCGAGTCCTCAACTAATGGTCAGACAGATGAGGTAAGTTGTGTTTTTAACAATTTGGTGAGAACACTTTCTACTGCCGCTAAGTAACACGATAATAACAGCAATGATAATAATAACAGTAATAATAATAAGAATGATGGTGATAATGATGATGATGATGATGATAATGAAACTGATACTAATATCAGTGATATCAATGATAGCGATAATATGAGTAATATCAATAATAATAATACCCTCTCGATATCCTCTCCTCAAGTCATCCTCCTTAAAACCTTTCATACAAGAACAATTTCTCTCAGTTTGGCCTTTCGCTGTGCAACATCTTTGCAAATGTGACTTTCGCCTCATTCCTCTAATTTCTAGTTTCGAATCTTAATGTAAGCATTAAAGCCTTGAAAAATCACCAAAATCGGCTGGTTTCTATGATAGTTGCAACCTGTAATTTCCAAATCAGTCCTATATCGTAGGTGTACTCAAGCCTCCATGGCTGGCATTTTTTCTTGGGGGCTTGTTGAGGATAAAAACGACCTTTTCAAAAGCAAGCAGCGGAGCTTTGATAGGAGATACGCAAGCTAAATACACCCCGATAGAATTACTCATTATCACCAGGAGAAAAAAAAATGGTTAAAAGACGCCTCTAAAGGCGCTCAGTTAGTCACTGAGGGTCAATTATGTGGTTGAGTTAAAAAATTTGAGAAAGTTTTGAACTCAATTATATTGGACATGAGAGGGAATAGATGTTCAAAATGAGAATACTGCTCCGAAAGCGAGTCGGGAATTGGTGAGTCAGAAGAACGGATTAGCAGGTTCGTATCTGCTACTCACAGCAAATAAAGAGCACTCACTTAACATCCAGGACCTGCTCGATAACAGTCGACAAAAGCACCTCTTAGATTTAAACCTGTCAGAATATGTCAGTTTGAATATGAGGGCGTTTGTTATCGACGATGTTTTCTTGCGTAATTGATTTCACTTCATTAAGGCAAGTTAACAATCGTTTGACGAAAAGAAGAGCAGTGTGTACACGATAAGAACTACCTATCATTTTCCTAAAAAATGGCTATTTGGTTAAACTGCGCTATCAGACAACGAATTGAAATTTCTGGCGCCTTTCTTGTAAGTCAAATTAATTTACGAGGGAGATATTCTCGTCCCGTAGAAGACTTTTGGAAGTCTAGATCAGTAAAATTCTCTAGACTGTAGACTGGTTGAGAACTGAATTGTTCGACAATTTCCCGGCAATTTTCTTTATTTAAAGTGTAGTAAACAGTACCAAACATACTAATGCACGGTAATTAATGCTTCAAAGTGTCCTACAAGTCTTCAATTGAAGAAGTTAATATCTCCTCATCAAACTCACTATTTTCTAAACTTCAGAGCCTGTGCTGAACTTTCTAACCTCTAAACACGACGTTTCTTTTCCGTATAGGTGAGGGACGCTTTCAAATGAGCATGAACTGATGAACGGAATTCTGTGTCTCATTTCACCTGGAGACTGACATCACGGCCTCAAATAAAACAACACCTGTCAGAATTAGCGCTGACCGGAATTTACGACCTAGATGATTGAGTGACATTAATGAGGCAGCGGCGCATAAACGCGAATTTTCAATCGCACTTGAAATAAGGCTATTTTTATTTCCATGCATTACATGTTACAGCTAGAACCGTAAACTCTCATAAGACATAGACAAAGAGACGAAAATTGTTCTCATGAAATTCACCGAGTATCTTTCTTTTCCATTCTAATGGATATTGATATTACTGCTGTTTATCATGAAAATGCATGAAATTCTCTCACTTCGATTGGCTGCTAGCAAGCAAAATGAATTATTGATTTTTAGTTTGCACTGAAGCGCAAATGAATAATTTGAACTCGTGCTTTTCTCATTCCGGTGATTAAAATCGAGTAATCTCTCGAACTGCGAACAGTTGGGAGCGCCATTATGATGGCCTGTCAAACAGGGCTTAACATGGTGTTC